GGCCGCAACGCGTCCGGCAACACGCCGCTGCACGTGTGCGCCGTCAACGCGCAGGACTCCTGCGCACGGCAGCTGCTCTTCCGTGGCTGCGACAAGGAGTCCCTCAACTTTGCCAACCAAACACCCTATCAGGTACATCTAGAATGCAAGCTCTTCATAGTTATATTTTTTTTATCATTAGTTTTAAAGTAAAAGTAGTAGTAAAGGAAACTACTTAAAGTTTCAAAACTATTGTTTTGATTAGCAAAATTAAGTACGTTTTTATAAATTAACACGTACCGTTGTAGAGAACTTTTTCGTTTGATATTAAAATTAATAATCATATTTCTAAATGAAAGTTTAAGAATTTTCTGTAAAATTTCAGGTAGCGGTAATAGCTGGAAATTTAGAATTGGCAGAAGTAATAAAGAACTACAAAACCGAAGAAATCGGTGAGTTTGACTTTAATTATTCTGCATGGCTTTGCTGCCGCTTTATAAAATAATATTTCATTGTTAACCAAATTCTTTTACAAACCTAGATTTCTGTTGCCGCAGCTGCTTTTGCATTACAGTATTTTAAAGTGCATTATTATTTATTTATATGTTTATTAGATTTTATATCTGTTTTTAAAGCATACATCCATACATACATCGCATGTCTACATCCATTATCTTTATACTTAACTTTTAGCAGACTCTCTTAATTTCATCGTTGTCTATAATGGTGATGGTTGTATATTTATCGAATATATAAAGTTTATAATATTGATAATACATTAAAATACTGTTTAATTCATCGAATACCAAACTCACACATGTCCTATTTTGTATGTAAGTTATTATATCTTACAAAATAATTAATAATATTGTTTAAAGTTGTGACGTTATGGTTAGTTTTATATGTTTTTGTTCGCCGCACGATTATCTGATTTCCCTTGGTTTAACAATTTCGACTATAATTATTTTGTTTTAAATTGTTTCCCCAATTTTGATTTACTTGAGGTTACGATTGGTTTTCGCACTTTATTAGTTTTTCGGTGGCTAACGCAACAATTTCAGTGCCGTTCCGCGGTCCGCCGCGATACAACCCGAAGCGACGGTCTGCTGCATGGGGCGGCTGGTGGAGCGCGGGAGACAGGTCCTCG